GGTTGTAAGATCGCGCGGTTAAGCTTAACCCTAGTCAGGGGTTGTGTTTCAGCATCGGGGATTTCTTCAAAAGTTGACCAGTGATCGACGCGTCGTCTCATTTGCGTGCAGGGGCCCTTCGCAAAACATTTCCCTCTGATAGGCGGCAATATTCGTGTTTGAAACGAGCCGCATGGGCTGTATCAATTAAGAATTTTGCCATGTCAAACGGTGGGTTGTTTCAGTCAAAATGATCCACCTATCTTCAGAACGACAAGGCGATTTCGGGAATGTGGGCAATCTGATGAGCGAGAACTTGGCTTCTGGGGCCATCTGGGGAGTATGTCACTGAACTAACGAATGATTCCCGGCAAGTGACAAAGCTATAAGTTTCCAAGACATCTCCTCCACCGAACCCTCTTTTTGTTCTGTGTCTCATCATCACCTTCTTTGCATTTTATTTCACTCTTTCGACAAGCTGTGCTTGGTCATTCTTTATTTGTCTTAACCATTCCTAAAGTATTTACTGGTTTGATACCATTTTCTGTCTTTTCACTCATCTTTCATCACATACCTACCAATCATCAAAATGCAGTACCGTGTGATCATGGCGGCCACTCTGGCCATTGGTGCCTATGCCGCTCCCGCTCCCCTCATCACTGGCGCCCCATCTCTTTCTCGTCGTCAGGATAGCGAGGGAGGCTCTGGAGGTTCTGGCGGAAGCAGTGTTCTCGACGCTCCCATGACCATCGCTGCTGGCGAGTCATTCGACGGAGGCAACGCTATCTTCGATCGTGGTGTTTCTTGCACTGGTCAGGAGGAGGGCGGCGATTCTGATGCCGTCTTCATCCTCGAGAAGGGCGCCACCCTTTCCAACGTCCGCATTGGTAAGTTCAACCAGCCATTCTTGTTCCCAGCCTGTTCTAACTGTTGTAGGTCCCAACCAGATCGAAGGTGTCCACTGCAACGGTGGCTGCACTCTCAACAACGTTGTCTGGGACGCCGTCTGCGAAGATGCTTTCTCCATCAAGAAGCAGGAAGATGGTGAGACTACTACCATCAACGGTGGCGGTGCCACCGGCGCCGAGGACAAGGTCATCCAGCACAACGGAGGAGGCACCGTCATCATCAAGGACTTTGTGGTCTCCGACTTTGGCAAGCTATACCGCAGCTGTGGTAACTGCAAGGAGATGCCCGCTCGCCATGTCGAGATCTCTGGTGGTTCTGCTAGCGACGGAAAGATCCTTGTCGGTATCAACCCCAACATGGGTGACACCGCCAAGATCTCCGGCATCCAACTCACCAACGTTCCTAAGGAGTGCATCACTTTCGAGGGTGTCATCGACGGCAGTGAGCCCAAGGAGGTTGGCACTTGCGACGGCTCGGGTTCCGGCTCCAGCACCGGCTCTGGAGGCTCTACTGAGGCCCCTGCTACCCCTACCACTCCTGCGGAAGGCTCTGAGACCCCTGCCGCATCTGAGGTTGCTAACCCTGTTGAGACCTCCACTGATGGCTCTCAGGGCGACGACCAATCTGGTGACGACCAGTCCGGCGACAACAATAATTCTGGCAACGATGATTCTGATGACGACAACAAGGACGACAACTCTGACGATGAGAACAAGGATGAACAGTCCGACAATGAGAACCAGGACCAAGAATCTGAGTCTGACAACCAGCAGACCCAGCCTTCTCAACCCAACTTCAACTTTGGAAGTGGTGGCTTCGGTGGCTTCTGAAGAAGCCTTAGAATTGGGTTGGAGACACCGAACAATCTACCCAAATACGCTGGATGTACTTGAAAGCATCAATCACAGTTAAAAACTTGTGTTCTTGTATCTATATAGTTAATACTTATGGGGTTAAGACAATTATTGAGGCGCTACCATTGCATTACTCCTCTATGTGACGCGAATCTTCGTGGTCACTCACGCCCATCAATGCGGTTCCTAATTTGATACCACCAACGACACATACCTGAAAACATTTACTTGATAGAGCAGAAAGACTCAACAGTGCAGCAATGCCAGAACCTCAAGCAGCATAAACTATTCCAAACACAGTAGTCGCCGGAAACACGATGCCAAGCGAGAAGCGCGTAAGACCTAACCTCATTCGTAGCGAACACAGGATGAAAATCCGCGGTTCGTGTCCGATAACTATGCGAGACTTGCATGACTGTCAAAAATATGACAGCTGTCAATCGACCGGGAATCCAGGCCTGAGGCTGAGCTTAGAACTGTAACAACTCGTGTCTTGACTACCAATAGGTCAACAACGGATCACCGCGCCGCTTCTGAGAGGCTTTATCCTCTCTTGGTTGGCATGTTGTTTCCTTGGCGTTACCTCTTTGGTGACGTACTCGTCAACCCTCTAGATCCGTTCATGGGCATATCAAGCATGCTCACACCATCTTGATCAAAACTGTTCAGAAATCGACAGTATTTCAACCACAATGTTTTTTCGTCAATACTTTGAAGCATTATATGCCCAGATTTGTATGTCTTGGTAGACACGTGATATAAGCAATTCTGGGCCGTAATTTGGATACTCACGATGCTATTGGGTCAACATAGCCCCGAAGGATTCAGACCAAGCGGCGGGTAATGGCCTCGCTCATTTCGCTAGCTCAACTGCGCCTTTTGCCTGGCTCACGCTGCCTAGCGCGTACCAATTTTTGTCTAATGATAAAAACCTTCGCGTCAGCCCAATTCCTAAAGTTGTAGTGACCTTATCGATCATCTCCACACTCGTTTCTTATTTCCGTCGTAACACAATGGGTGTACTCCAGAAAGGTGCTGCTGGCCTTGTGCTATTTTTGGCCCAGTTTGCGTCTGTACAATCTATGAAGCTTGACAGCAAGGATGGTATCTTAGACGCGTCCAAGGGTCTTGCAGGGGATCTCATCAGTTTCTACAAGGGCAACGAGACCGGTCAAACCCCTGGTCTGCTTCCCGAAAGAACTATGGGAACAGATGGGTATTATTGGTACCAGTCTGGTGCTTTCATGGGGTCTTATGTCGACTATTGGCAGTTGACAGGCGACAAGACCTACAACACGCTCGTTACCGAGGGCATCCAATGGCAGGTTGGCAAGGGCAAGGACTTTATGCCAGCCAACAACACAGCAAGCATTGGCAACGATGACCAGTCCATTTGGGCATTTGCTGCCCTTACAGCCGCCGAATATGGCTATCCCGAACCCTCCGAGGGTCAGCCTCAGTGGCTCGACCTTGCCATCGCTGTCTGGGAAGAGCAACGCGCGAGATGGGACACAGAAGTTGAGCAGAAGACCTGCAATGGCGGTCTCCGATGGCAAATCCTGATGACCAATGCTGGTTTTGATTACAAGTCGAGTATGTTACCTCGTCAAATTCAGTCTGCATGTCACTAACCTCTATAGCACTCGCTAATGTTCTCTTCTTCAACCTTGGCGCTCGTCTTGCCAGACTCACATCCAACGACACATACGCCGACTATGCCTCAAAGACCTGGGACTGGCTCGAGACCAGCGAGCTCATTGATAAGGAGACCTGGGCAGTCTATGATGGCGCTCAAGCTACAAAGGCTACTAAGAACTGCTCAAACATCAACCAGATCCAATGGTCTGCCAACTCAGCAGGGCTGACTATGGGTGCCGCATTCATGTACAACTTTGTAAGGATACAACTTGATGATGAAGAATTTCATGCTAACTGACATCTCTAGACCGACGGATCAGACGAGTGGAGGGAACGTACCGAGAACCTCTCTTCGGCGACGCTAAAGACATTCTTCAAAAAGAATGGAGACTTCAACGAGGTCGCATGTGAGAATACCAAAGGAAAATGCCCTCGCGACATCGTCATGTACAAGGGCTTCACGCACCGATGGCTTGCAGTGGCTACCCAGGTCGCCCCCTTCACAGCCAGTTCCATACTCCCTGTCCTTCGAAAGTCGGCAGAGGGTCTGAAGGCAGATGGAAACGGTGACGATGCCATGGAACAGACGTTCTCCAACTTTGTTGTTGTTTCCAACTTGTTGATCGATGACTCTTCTGCTCCTGGTCATCAGAATGAGACCAGCAAAACAGACAAGGCGGAGGAGTCTCCCTCTTCGACGTCTAGCCCTGCTTCCAAGTCATCGTCTGCTGAGGCTGAGGGCAACTCTGCCATGAAGCTTGCGGGAACAAGCAGCTTCCTGGCTTTGTCCGTTCTCATGATGACTTTGCAATGGATTCTATAGAGTCACAGCCGAGTAGGGTTGGAACTTGACATGGTTTATTGCTTGAATGATTCAAGTTAACGTGTATATAGATTTATGAGATGCAAGAGACAATACAATCCTTTCAAGACAAGTCCGCATACCAATTGCTCATGCGGTTTGGGCGACATCACCGTGAATCTCACTGAGAATGAGACAACAGGATCGAGCCGGAGCCAAATCTAGGTTCCGGTGGAGACTGACGATAGCTTCTAGACTTTTGACCCGCATCGGAGGCTAAGTGGACCTCGAGAAACTTTCCGAAGGTCCGGTGGAAAAGAAACCGAAGTCCACCGAAGCGTGGGGTTAATGGTGGATCATTGCGTGTTGGAGATCATCCCAGCATCAAATTTACAATCACAAATGCGCATTCAGGTTTAACAGGTTATTGATCATTATGTACAATTGCTAGAGCTATAAACGCCCAGTAATCAGATCCGGGTTATGTACAAATCGAGGAAAAGTCTTTATTCTGCTCGGTCAATCGCAGCTGCTTTCCTTGCTAAAATCCAATGATCCCTTGCCATAGTTCGCTCCAAGATTCATGCTTTCAGAGATCTCAATGCGATTCTGGGATATACAATTTCTGGGGATATTTCTTCTTATTTCATGAAGAGACTGGGTATCCGTGGTGTAGTAATGGTATGCTGGGGCGTGGTGGAACGTTTCATATCGTCATTCGTTGGGATAAATCCCGACGCGGTGGGTTATAGCAGTCATCTGGAAGATGGCTATGTCTTGTTTGTGGTGGTGTGTGTGATGTTATGGCTACTGCTCATCTATTGTCGGCCAGTAGGGATGGAGATGCCAGACCAACGAGGAGCAGATGAAGGCTCAAAGACGTTGGTGCCCAGAGGAGGGTCACGGCTTGTAGTGGTAGCGGAGACGCTGGGTGTCTGAGTAACGATGGTGGAAGTCTCGGAAACGTTGACACGGTTGCCCCAGAACTTATCCATGATGGGGTCATGGACAGCAGAGTCGCGAGTGTTGGAGAGGTTACGGCTGGCCTCGGTGGTGCTCAGTCGTCGAACCTGGGTAAGTCCACGGAGAGCACGAGGAGCAGTGCGAACACCGCGGGAGAGAGTCTGGATGGAAGAGCTCATGATGGAAGTGTTGGAGATTAGACTGGGTAGATGAATGTATTGATCAGATAAGAAATGATTTGGAGTAGAGAATCTGGGGAATTCGGAGTCTTTTCAATCTACTTATATCCTTCTCGGGCTGGTCCCCGGGCTGAGGGTGCTTCGGCTCGGATGAAGGGAATGCCCCTGGAAAAGGCAATTCCCCGCAACAAAACTCCCCGCACTATCACCGGTTCACTCCGCATTTACCCCAAAGTGGCCTGACATTTAACCTGGAACCCGATGTCGGTAGTTGTTTGCCCAGGGCGATGGAAGAGTGACATGTCTGTTCATACAATGAGGCTACAGGCTTAGGTACAGAGACTTCGAGGGATTGCTTCTGGATATCATGCATCGTGATCGTCTGCCCATGTCCACCCCAGGCTCTTGCGACGTCAGGCCATCCGATAATGCAACGGTGCCCCGACATATCTTTTTGACCAGTGAGGTTGGTCATTGATCGTACCCTCGCTTTTGGGTTCATGCTCAGTAGATGGCTGACTGTCGCTTCCAGCGAAGAAGATAAGGCTTTGTCCTGAGCCACATAGACAGCGACGCACATACGGTGATTATCAGATGCTATTTTCGCAGGTTAACCGAGTCGTTGTCGCCCAAGAGAAGATGGTGGGTGTGATTCTGTGCCGTGCCGCTGAACTTATCCAGCCAATAATCTTGCACGGCGGGATCGCTGCGTGGCTGATTCGCTACGAAGTACCTTACTTATAGACGATTCATCTCCCTATTTCTGCTATAAGTTGCACGATTCTCCTGCGTGAGTGCGGCCGCCATTAATGTCATTCACCTAGACGTTGCTTTTACAGCAATGTTGTTGAAGGGTCATCAAAGTACTCAAGCAGCCAGCTGATAACGAGAAATAGTACAACCATGCTGTATTGGCTACAAAGGATTGCAGAAGATGACATAAAGCTCTTCAGTACCCCAAAGCTAACATAAAGACAAAGAAAATCGAACCGTAGCATAAACAATTTGTTGAGTAGTTACTCGCAGATAAAGCAATTTTGGATCGCATCATTACCTTCCACATCATGGAACCGATACCTTGCGCCTAGAAACTATCGTTCACCTCGAATAGCAGAAAAGGAAAAGCGACACGAAATCATGAGAAATGCGCATATGGAATAGACAAGAGTGTCACAGCTTCATGCCGATCAATGAAGGTTGACGCATACGATACTTTGAAAACGGAAGTTGTTGTCATCAAAGGAGAGGATTACAAAGCCCACGGTTTTCGGTGGGCGTCGCCAAGGATTGTGTTGGATGTTGTGCATCGTCGTGAGCGTAACAAGTCGCCTTCAAAGGCTGCGAGATTGCCAAGTATGGCCGCTCGCTTATCGCCGTCGAGATTGGTTATAGCGTTGCTTCCTTTCGTTCATACCTAATGATTGCTATACTCGGTCGATGGATCAGCTATGAGGATCGTCCTCAGTAATGGACCGAGTCCAGCGTCTTCGTAATACCCGTGGCCTCTTATGACAAAGAGTTTCTACCACGTCGTCCACGGCGAGATTCATTGGTGACTGTCTTGGTAAGGGCGTTATCCACCAGGACATCGTCCTTCTTGATACTTCTTCGTGGAATCCAGAAAAGCTGGACTGCTCCGATAACAGCTACAACAACACAGCTGAACCACGCTGACACGGAACCTGACAGAGCATAGAAAACTCCAGCAAGAGGCGGCGCAACAGTACGTGCCAAACAGGCACCAGACATAGCTAAGCCATTGACTCGTCCAAGCACCTGAGGAGATGGTGTAGCATCCTTGATAAGAATGAGAGTAACGGGTGCCACTATCAACCCGCAGAAGCTCTGCATTAACAGCGATGCGTAGATTCCCAGGGAGACAACAGGTTCGCCGAACGCGGAGAGGAAAGGCATGAGCATGTAGGAAGCAGGATACAAGATAATCATGCTCACAAAGGAATGCCATACTCCAACACGGCTCACGAACACGGGGAAGATGACGGCCTGGATAAACAGACCCAGTACTCCGTTCACTGCGAGATATACGCCGACATCGTGCACGGTGTAACCAAGACCACCAATCCAGTCGATAGCACCGCGTTTTTCAGAAGGATCATCGAGCAGATACGTGGCAAGAAGACTGCTTGCAGCCATTTGGTGATATGAGAAGATAAGCAGTGCGACGATGAGCATCATAATCGTCTTGTTGAAAGTTCGTTCACCGGACTTTGCCTGCTCGTCCTCCTGCTCCTCGTTAGGGGGTGTGAGAAGATCCTGAGGAAGGACAATGGAGTGCACAGTTCCGAAAGAAGAGCGGCGGAGGTCGATGAAGTCGTGTTCGACTGCCATTCCAAGACTTGACTCGGCGAAGCGAGGTCGTGATCGGCTGGTGGAGGGTGACATATGTCGACGGCTGCGAGAAACGGAGGTGCGGACTGCAGAGCGTCTGAGAGGTGTGCGCTCATCGATAGATTCGAGATCGTCTATGGCGGGGACTTCTTGGTAGTTGATAACGCCATTCTCGCCCTCGGATCCGGGCTTCACAAGGGTCTCCTCGAGGAGGAAAAGTCCCTGGATGACGGCGATGACCACCACGGCCACTGAAACGAGGTTAGGAAGCAAATAAGGGTATCGTCCAAACAGTCCATCCTCGGAAAAGACTGAAGGATAAAACTTGGCAGGTTGAGCGAGGAAACCTCCCATTGCAGATCCGATGATGCCGCCAAGAGTCCAGACGAAAGGCTGTACAGCGTAAGCCTTGGCTGCGAGAAAGTTAGCATTTCCGTGATATGCGTGGCTCGAAGAAGGACGTACGCTCATGCTCGGGCAACTTCACCATCTCAGCGACCATGGTCTGCATGACCGAGACGTTTCCGTTCAGCGCGCCGCCAACAAATCGTGCAAGCAGAGCAACCCAATAGCTCTTGGCCAAACCAAAGATGAGACTCGACAAAGCAACACCAACAAGTCCAAATAGAACAACAGGCTTTCTCCCGACGCGGTCCGAAAGAATACCCCATCCCATCGAGGTCAGCGCCTCGGCGACCGCATACGCCGAGACGAGCAGTCCCGCATAAAGTGAAGCATCTTTCTCAGCAATGCCCAAATCCTTGACCATCACAAACGTGTAGGCCAGGATGGAATTGAAGGCAATCGGCTCCGAAAAGCGACATATTGCTGCAATCGTGGTTAGCGCTCGCTCGCTGATGAGATTATCATGGGTGAGGGGAGGGGGTCCGTTAAGGCGGTGAGTGAGAGTAAGAGTGAGAGTGCGCGCATACCGAGAATTAGAAGTTGCCTCGTGGGGAAAGCATTAGGATCTTTGTCTTCCCTTGCTCTCAAATTCATGATATTTACAGCGAATCTCGGGTGTCTTTTCTTCTTCTCTTGAGGAGCAGACGGCGGTCTGAGAGCAAGGGCGTCAAAGTTGCAGGACCTGAAAGTGAAGAGAGAGTCCAAGAAAGAGAGGAAGAAAAAACTCTTTTGGCGGGCCTCATGACTCTCAAGTAGGTAGCCTAACAGAAAATCCACTGCCGCTGAACCAGTGCACGCTTAGTCTATGGTACAACGGCCCGCAAACCGACTCGGTGCAACGTAGCGCTACTGTAGCCCCCCCACGCAAGTTTTTGCAGGCGAGGCGAGCGTTGCCACCCCCCGGTCAATGCAATTCACGACATGCAATGCAATGGTTATCACTTGGCAAAACGAGGGGAAATGATCCTGGTTCACGGAGAATCTCTGCTAATACTGCGGATATACTCAGCGCATCATCGTTATCGCTCCATGCAAGACACGAGCTAATGGAATGGGCGTTGGCGGAGATTGAATGCCTCTGCGCATTCCCGTGTCAACCCCTCCCTCCCTAGAGTCCCCTGCTCACTACTCAAGATCCCGATAGCCTAGCACCAGCACGAATCACTCACTGTAAGAATTTGCTTCTGTTTAAGCTTTGAGCTTGGCTGGTGTCTTCTTCTTGACCGCTCGGCCCATGGTCGGATGACAATGCAGTACAGTAGCGTACCTTACCACAATGCGGATGTACAGTAGTGGCAATCCTTCACCGTGAACGCTTGTTTGCCACCAACAGGAGGCAAAGCCACTTCCCCTCGTCGTGGTGAATGTGATGTCAAACCGCATGCTCCAACTGTCAAAGTGTCAAACAAACTCTAACAATCATAGCGCAACATGCAAAAAACGACGACATATCGCATACAATTTCATCATAATACCGATTCAATATTCACTGAGACCAATCAAGATTTATGTCTCACAGCACCCAGATCTTCCGTCGCACACCGTTCTTCTGCCAAGTGACGACCCGCCCATCTTTCATGTGCGGCGAAACGGAAATCGTTCAACCCGCTAACGTTCTAGTGGGAGGCGAGCCAATCGACACCGAGTTTTCACAGTTATCATGCGGGCACCATGAGGCTGAAAACGGCAAAGACGATTTCATGCGACAGGATGATGTGGTGTCGGTAGATGACAGATCGGATCCAGATCTTGACTGTCTCTCTTAGTTCCCTATTGAGGTCTGAGCTTACTCTGATCTGCGGGCTTCTTTTCACCGCACGAGCCCGGGATATCCGCCATATCGTATCGAGAGATAAGCACGATTAGGCGCTGAATCCCAGGAATTGACGGCTATATGCAGTGTAATACATCCGGACCAATAAATCGTATTCTATGAATTATCGAGAGGCTGAAAAGCAGAACATTAGTGCATGAATATGATGCTTTCGTGAGCTGGTCTGCTGGGTACTGTTCCCCGCTCACTCACCGGTCTCCTTAGTTCCTGGTGGCTGGGACTGGCGCTTCAGCCTTGACAATGAAAATCGGTAATTGAGCGATGTTTGTTCTACAACGTATGATCCAGCTTGTATCCATGGAATAATCCTTGATGATGCGCAATTATCCCAAAGCCGTGTTACGGGTACTTGGGTACCATTCCCGTGCGACAAAAGACACGAGCACGTGAATTTCTCAAAATGGTACGCTGAAACCTAGCATAGAAATGTAAGTCTGCTTATGGAAACTAAGAATGGTGTACAAGGATTGATGCCAATGGGTTCTGATATTGTGTCCACCGGTGTATCATCTCCAATGTCACAATTCGGAGCAAAACTCCCTAGCTACGACAATCTCTGGTTCTTGTCAGACACTGATTGATCACCCCAGCCTGTGGCTGACCCTTTGTGCTCATCAGATAAATTACTTTTGCTCCATGTGCGACAGATCATATCGAAAATCGGACTGCTGATTCATTATATACTTCTGTATCACCGTCGCCAGCAAATATGGTGGGTAGCACCAACTTCGTATTGACGATACCCCTGCAATGTCTCAATATTTTATGCACGGGGAAACAAGCATCTGCAGTGGAAACGTGGTTTATAAGACTCATTGGGACAAGTCTTATCGTCATAGATGGTGAAACAAGCACGGCACAATGTCTTGGGTGTTGTTGAGCCGTTCCGTTGGTTTCACTTGTAATTTCTTATTCACTGACTTGTCCCTGTATCATGTTGTGCGTGTTGCCTTGGTGATTCATCGGAGTGGCATCACCGAGATCTTCACAGTACTTATCCGTGCACTGGAATGAGCTTTACTTTACATACTGAGTCACCATTGTTCCAGAAACGGGGGATATTCGAGTCGGAGGTACACAGGTTTAGGAGTCGGAAGTGTCTCAATTAATTCTGGAGGAACATAGATATTGATGCCTAGATTTAGGTGATATTAACAACAGGCGGGCGGCAACATTCGACCATGGCCATCCTAAAAGATGAATTATACTTCATCTAGGTTTTGCATGTTTGTCTATCTGCAAGACTATGCAAATTTGGTCTTGGGACGTTCCTGTAGCTCCCCGTCCAAGATGATATCAACCTTCTCGTTGTAAAAGCAGACCAGTCGTGCAATCGCTGCGCTCTCGAGAGTTGGGTGGTTGTAATACCAGACCAGATTCTCAAAGGTTTTCCCATCGATGACAATGTTGTAGTATTCGGCCTCACCCTTGTATGGACACTTGGATTTGACGGGGCTTTTCGACAGGACAGTCTGGTCAACAGCAGACAGTGGAAGGTAGTAACGAGTCGGCAAACCTGTCTCCAAGAGATGCATGGATGAAGTGGCTTTCGCGACAGTTTTGCCGTTGACTTTGACTTCAATGGGACGCGTGGAGTGAAGTATATCAACGCGTTTGAAGGGATCTTTCGCATGGACGAAGATTGGTTCATCTTCCTCAAACCATTGATCTGTCATCCGTTAGCAAACCATGTCGTCAAGTCATACTCGAAAGCTTACCTATACTGCGAAACTCAATCCGCACCATATCAGAAAGTTCCCCAAGGGTGACATCTTGAAAGAAGTGTACAACATTGTCCACCTTTGCCTCCTTGATACCATCATGAGCTGGGATGATGAGTTGGGCTATGGCGGCCCTCTCTTTGAGCTCCACTGAGATGTTCTTCTTATCAACCAGCTTTGCGTTCTTCACATCAATCGCCGGCACATAGATAGTGGGGAAACTGTCATGTTCCCAGACAAATACTCCGTGAGTTGTATCCACAATAGTGGCATGGTTGTGAACGGCCCGCAAGCGGCGGGATGTCTGCATTGTCTTGCGGGGACCATGCTCGATCAGGCTCTGAGCGAGCTCAATATAGCGGGAGGCGCTACCCATGCTGTAATATAACTTAATATGTTTGTTTTTCGAATTTCTGCTTTTCTTAAATGAAGATATGCTAGTTTCAAAGGATGTTGGGTGAAGACGAGTACCCCGCTCAATGACGCAGACAATATCCGGACATTGATCTTGATTTATAATCATCGCTGCAGGAAGACTAACTTGAACATGAGATTTCTATGAAATTTTGAATAGCTACTAATATCATCTAGGCTTGTCAAATATCCTTTGAGGTGCAAACTATTCCTACTTTGTTACAAGTGTATTGCTAGCTCTGGACGTAGTGATACTACAGCTTCCGCCTACTATGTTTTCACAGACGTCGGTGAGCGGGCCATAATTATACAGGCAGGATTACTTGCCTAACTGAAGCAGTATCAGATAGAACAGAAAACATAGCCACAGGGAACTTAACTCCTTCTGCAAAGCTTGCCTGTATCTAGACTATAGTCCCAAGCATCACTTCCGACTCCGGATAAAACCCAAAGACTCTCAGTAGGGTCATACTTCTCCTTCACTTCCAGCAGACGAGAATACAATGCTCCATAGAAGTCATTCTTGAAATGCGGATTAAAAGGGTTTGCCTCGTTCTTATAGGCTCCAGTATCTGGCGCCCATTCCTGCCAGAGCTTTTCCTTCGAGTCATTCAGTTCGCGTGCTCCTTTCGCCAGTGTCTCTGCTGGTGTAAGAGTACTGTCGAGAGTCAGACTGTAGCTCATGGTATGGAGATAGGTTGATCGCCATGCTGGTAGAAGCGCGCCTCGCATGCTTCTTGGAGTTTTGGCAGGACCCGGTCCACCTTGCAAGCCGATAACAGCCATACCAGATGCTTCCGGGTCTGAGCTTGTAAGCATCCGCTTGAGATAGCTAATCAGCGTCTTCCGGGTCATCTCGGATGTCTCCCGACGGCCGAGAAGTCGACTGGACGGCATGGAATAAGCTCCGGCCTGGTTTGAGCCTCCAGCATTCAAGGCTTCGAAGAACCCCTTGTAGGTAGGATGGACAGTTGTGTTGGAAGTAACGATCGATAGGATGCTGCTATCGCCACCGATAGAAGGATAAATCCTATCGATAGCCATCTGAACCAAATTTTCGGTGTCTGTCTTCGACTTGTTGAAAGCATAGAACCCCTGGGTGATGCTGACGCCAGCTTTGTGATTGCCTTGCACTATCGCTGCACCGGCCAAGCCAGCATCCATAAGATCAGGGAGCAGGCGCATTAACTCTAAGAAAGCGTTCCAGGTCGTTTCATATGCAGCTGAACTGTCGCCACGTGGGGAGATAGTGAAACCGGATTCGATGACACTTGGTGCGGGATAAGCTTTCAGTACGTACTCAGTAACAATGCCATATTGTCCCGCCCCGCCGCCTCGAATAGCCCAGAGCAGGTCCTGGTTCTGCGTAGCGTCGGCAGTGAGTATGTGGCCTTGAGTCGTTACAACTCTCACTTGGTAAATGTTGTCAGCGGCCAAGCCGAAGGTGCTCGACAATGGGCCATGACCACCGCCTTCAATATGCCCTCCCAAGCCAACTGTGGCATCATTGCCACTTACAATGACGTGGCCATACTTGAGAGCGTGACCAACTGCATCACCGTAAGTGAGGCCGCTTGCGGCGATGAGCACGGTGTCTGTCTTGTTAGTCCCAGGTACTCTCCAGCTCGGATCGAACTCGACCCGCTGCATGTGCCGAGTCCAGATGGACAGAGAGTGTGCGCCACTGGATCTAATAGAATAGTATTAGCAAGGACCCATAGTCTCGTGGTGGCAAGGAAACACGAACCTTCCGCATAAGTCATGGCCAGTTCCCTTGACAACGATGCGGATATTTCGGTCTGATGCCCATTTGACAGCGAGAGCTATCTGCTCATCGCTCGTCGCATTGACAACATAACTTGGATATCCACCGAGATGGCAACCAAGTGTTTTGTTGTAGCCCGGAGCCCCAGGGGGTAGGCAGGAATTGTTGGCGTATAAGACGGATGAAATCGACTCGGGGAGGTTGGCATGGAAAGTCGACTGAGTCTAGTTGGCCTCAACGACGTTGCAGTTCAAAGTCGAATCGAACGGATTCGTCTTGTAACAGGAAGATGCAACTGGGCGTGTTTTGATGAGAGCCCCACCGATAGAGTTATTCAACGCTGCCCACTCGGTGTCAATAGGCCAAGTCGCATCAAACGGTGAAAGTTTGCATCTTTGCGGCTCTGTTGGGGACGCAAGAGCTGTTGAACACACAAGAAGCGCAAATAAACGCATTATTTATTGAGCTGATGTATTGCCGAAATCGGTGTGCAAATATCTCTTGTTTGTCGCCTCTTCTGGATGCAATCGGCTCTTTTATAGCAATCTCAGCCTCACTTAGCAAGGAACATAAAATGCCGGGGTTCTCGGACACTACGGAGAGTAAGTGTTTGCCCTAGCATTTTCGTATATCCGCCTCCCTTTTCGCATTCTAAACCATGGGCTTGCGTGTCTGTGAATGGCCAGGTCTTCGTGGGTTTTAGTGTACCTCGTACGTCATGTGGGTTGCAACAAGCCATGATTATCCACTACCGGCCTCTTCTTTCTAAGCGCCGTCGGCAAATTATTGTTATCATGAAGGACACGTCATGGTTCCAATTTGCTTTCACCCTGAAGAGGATTCATTGTGGGTGGAGTCCGTGCAACGACCGCCGGAGGTCCGACTCTCGGGGAATCGTAGCCAATCGCTGATTATTCGCACAGCTTGACCAAATTGCACTCCACCTCTTGGGAACTTTGTGTATCAGCTTGCGGCTAGTTGCAATATCAATGCGTAGGCTCTTTATAGGGCATCAACTATAAGATGACAGACGTGAATCTTGGACTTCTGTCTCCTCATTCTTTCCTTGGATAGTCTAATCCGCCCTCCTTTCACAACCATGGGTTTAGTCCAGTTCGAAGATGGAAAGGTCCTCTATTACCCATATACTCCTTCGTCTGCAGCTGGCTATGGCTTCATGGCATGCTTTGGCATTGTAACCTGCGTACATATCGTTCGTGTTGTGCAGACCAAAAGGCGTTTTTTTATCCCTATGATCCTTGGTGGTATATGTATGTCTCGTCATGCTATTACCGATAACACAACTCTTACTGACCGTCTACTTAGGCGAGACGTTTGGATATTATGGCCGCGCTTGGGCCGGTCAGCTACCCAACTCACCCAGGCCATTCATGTTGCAACTCATGCTCATTCTCGTCGCCCCAGTATTTGTCTGCGCAACTATATACGTCACTCTGGGGCGACTAAAAAGCCGTATCCTCGGTCGACCTAATCGAAAATGCAGCATAACGGTGCTTTTCATTCTTACCGACATCGTGGCTTTCTGCTCACAGATTGGCGGTGGTCTCGTTCAAGTTACCGGCAATCTCAACTTAATGAAGATTGGAGATCATGTTATTCTGGGTGGCCTCGTCTTCCAACTGGTAGTTTTGGCTGTTTATCTGGGTCTGGTCTACAGGTTCTGGAGAGAAGCTAAGAGCCAGAATGACACAAATGGTCCTCGGTGGCAGCCCTTCACAGCAGCGTTGGCTGGAACGGTGGTAGCAATTTGGATTCGAAATCTAGTTCGAGCAATCGAGTTCATGCAAGGGTTCCATGGTTTCATCAGCGAAAACGAGTCAATGCTGTATATCTTTGACGCCTTTCTCATGCTACTGGTTATGGTGGCTTTTATTCCGTTCTACGATAGTAGTAGTATAGTGCCGCAGCACGTCAAGAGAGGATGGGATCCTATCGAGCTGGGCCCCTAATGGTGCAACATAGAGATAGATATGATTTACCAAAGCAACTTCTTAGAATCTTCAAAGAAAGGTCCCAATCCCAAAATTGTTCATATTGCCTTTACTGCTTCTTTTGGCCACTGAAGAAAGTCAGAATAGTCGTGTGATATATACTTATCGCATACAAAAAGAATATGATCAGCCCAGCCATGTATAAACCAAGCTTTCTTCATAGTCTGAACCAAAGGTGCGTAATAGGCTAGTATCAATAGAGCTACAGAGTCTTTGGACTGCAGGGAGTCAATGAAGGTATCTTCCATCATGTAAACCCAGATAAGAACTCTCTTGTAGTGCAGTGGGCATTTGATGGACCCGTCTGCATTACCAAACGTGGCTTCGTAGATACTGGCGATGGCTTCTAGAGATCGTGCAAAGTCTTCCTTGCGCAGGTGTGAACATGAAACAATTAGACTGCGTAGCTTCTCAATCGGGCCAGCCCAATCAACCCGAGTAAAGCCTTCGCAGATGTAGGTTGGGCGGGGGTCGTCAGGAGGCGCCTTACCGTTACCGAGCGCCTCCGTAAGCCCAGAGAACAATACCTTTTCTTCGAAAAGCTGTCGTATAAGTCTTGTGCCACGGGCTAATGAAAGGGAGCTATGAGGCGAGTTGCCGTCGGCTGGACACACGAATAGATCTTCAGACCCCGTAGGACCTGCTGCAAATACACAGAAGCAAACCAGCACAGTTGAAACATACAGACTGCCACAATTTGAGACGTCTATTCGCGACAACGCTTCATTTGTCTGGGTCAACCCGATAGAGAAGTGATCTTTAGCCAAGGCAATATAGCGTGACCTTTCCGGTGAAGTGTTGGATGCTAGATATGCCAGGTGGTACGCCGCAAAAGAGAGACATAGATGGAGTAGATAAGGATACGACGCGGCAAGCAAGGTTGCATCTCGTGACCAGAACTGGACAATCGGGTGATGTGGATCATCAGAGCCGCCGAGATTTGGTCCAGTAAAGATGATGAATTGACGCAATAGCTCGGCTTGGGCCATGTTCAGCTCTGTTTCTGTTTCTGGAGGCTGGGGTGACACGCTGGTTTCTGACTGGAGGTTGGATCGGAGTGAGGAGTCCTGACAAGACCAGTTCTTACGCGGCCGGCCTCGTCCAGGCTTCAGCGGGGCAATCGGTGCTGTTGCAAGTGAAGATGCCGGTAAGACTGGATTAATGTCATATTGGCATTCCAACTTGAACCTCGTGCAGTTGGTGCATCTCGGTTGAAGTTCATCACACTAGTCACGCTATGGTTAGTACTTGACGAATGATACGTATGCACGGATAACTAACCTTGACTTTGCGTCGCTTGCAATTGGAGCAGCCATTCTTAGACTTGTGATGAAACTTCTTTTTAGACCGTTGACTTGGCAGCATTTTGAAATCGATATGCAACGACCTGAAGCTATCCAGTCGGCAGAAAGCTTATTTTTCGCATAAACTGAGGTGGTTGCAGCTAACTTATAATCTCGTCACGGCCTTGAACGTTTCCGGGAACTTCGGTGTCGAGTTTTATCCACAGTTCTAGAGGAGTGGAGGCACCGAGATCCAATCGGTGATATTTCGTTCAGGTACGGAGGAAGCAGTCAAAAGTTTTGTCTCGACCC